CAGAGAATCTTCTGTAATATGTACTGAGCCCACTGCCACGAGAGTTCGCGACGTCACAACACAGTACAGTAGGACTGTCCGCGAGTCACAACTCACCGGAAGTTCCCTCCGGTAGCAAGCGGGAGGCAAATCAAACCACAAGTCTGCTCGCAAGCCTCTAGCGCAAGACGTCCGCTGCTTTGCAAGCCTTCGATTAACCGAGCAGAATCCAGCCCTACCACACACACACACACACACACACACACACACAAATACACACACAAACACACACACACACATATACACATATACACTCACAAACACATAACACGCACACATGTGCACACACATGTACGCCAAACACACACACACACACACACACACACACACACACACACACACACACACAAGCATTGTACCACAACTATAGGGCTGGACCGGCGACCGACCCGACCCAAACCGCCCACGATCTCCCTCCAACGACCAAGGCTAGCGGCGACGACGTTAGTTGTTGCAGTAGCAGAAGCGAAAACCAACAGAGCAGAACTCCCAGTCCCTGCCGCCTTCATATCGCAGCGGGCGTCAACGTCCGTCTATCGCGCCTTCTTCTGGTGTGTGTGTGTGTGTGTTTGCGTGTGTGTGTGTGCGTGTGCAATCGCCGGTGATACTTCGGAGCTCGCAGACAACTTCTCCCTGCCTCTCTCCGTCTCCCTCGCTCAGTCACTCGTGTGTTACTCTACTTGAAAGTGATCATATCGTCGTTATTTTGGGGTTGGATAATTTCGTGATCCGGTAGTAGTGGTAGTATTTGTGGCGTGATATCTCTCTTCAGCAGAATTATTCTACTTCCTTGACGTCCTGAATCCCGAGCTTTGATCACAGAAGGTAAGATACATTTCACTTACCTTTTGAAATAATAATTAAAATATTTCGCCCTCCCCGACTTCTGACGATGACCAATGTCTCTGTAGAGGTGAAACAGAAGAGATTGGCATTAAGATGAATTGTGGCGTAGATCTATGTTGTGACCAATGAGACCAATTCTGGCAGAGAAGTGTTTGCCATATTTAGAGCATTTAGAGCTCATTGCCACTCATGGATGTGCGCAGCTAGAAATGTAGTGGGTTTCTTTAGAAATAGTCAATCAATAATCACGTGTTGCTTGTTGCTTTTATAAAGTTAGCCTGCAAGATAAGCCGTAAGTGATTTGACTGAGCCTCCATTTGTCTTTAGGCCAATAGTGGTTGTATACTTTCTTCAAGACCCTGATGGTCGTTCAGCTTTAGCGCAGGGATCACACTTTGACGTATCAGCAAGCCACGTTGTAGTGGAAGTGTGGACCTCGTTGTTCTAATGATTTTGTGATAGCCATAAGCTTATAAAATCCATATTGTGACGTAGAATAAAACAGCATGCCATTTTTGTATGGCTGCCAACAGGTGTTTCAGTAACCGGTTCTGACTTACTGCGTCTGGTTGTTGTCGGAATTGTCAAAAATGGGCACCAGTTGTCGAAAAGAAAAGTGGTTGTCGTGGGTGGTTGGCGGGTTCTCTGGTGTGGTTTGCTTCTTCTTTCCTATCAAACATAGATCTATCGTCCTTATCTCCCCTCCTTCTTTTTTATGTTTGTTACTCTCTTGTAACACATCTTATCTTCTGGCGCTCATATGACTTTGTGCAGTTGCGAGCGCCGTAAAACCTCTACTAAAACAAGCAAACAAAAGTGGTTGTCTTGGATAGTTAGACGTCTTTGACAGTGTCATCATGAAGTGAAAAAAAAATGCAAGGAGGGGGGGGGGTGAGTGAGGAGGGAAGGGGAATTGATAGGCGTCGTTTACAGAGTTGACCGTCTTGGACAGGTGGCCTTTAGAACAAATCAAGTGTACTTATAATACAACATGTGTAAATAGTTGGAAGCTTTCCCATATCCACAAAGCTTTGTCGACAGCCGCATTGAAGAAATATGTGTACACAGTTCATTACTTTTACTGCGCCTTTTTAAAAAAATCAGCTTGGGGCACCTCGACTGGCGCCCTGGGTGCCACGCCATAAAATGCTAAATAATAAGGTCATACAAAGTTGCTTCACGTGGCCGGAAAGTGTTCCTATTTCTGCTCTTGGTGACAATAGGACGCCGTTTTTTAAAAAGGTATTCTACATTTCGCCTCTTGGACAATAATAAATTTGAATACAATAATGGTAGTTTGCGTTTTGTGGGAACTGGAGGAACGCCCACTGCGATTTACTTGGACGCACTTTTTAGGATCCCTTACCACCCATTTTTGCCATTGTCTCCAGCCTTCTTAGTTTCTATGTCTTGTAAAAGTATTGATTAGACTCGAGTTATTAGAGTGCATTGGTCTATAAACAGTTCTTAAGCAAAGATATCTTGTGCTTCTTTAGATCAATTTTATGAATGTTTGAAGTGTATCGTTCTTGTTTCCTGCATAATGTGTGTTGTTTGCTACTGGTATATATTTTTATGTAAATATATAGCGGTATATGAGGATATAAAGGACTGACAAGGTTACTTGGAGAACGTTTCTGTATGGTCTGCGTCATAACATGTTTTGTCAAAGAAATATTTTCTGGTCTACACCTATCCAGAACAGTTTGAGTTCGTCGCTTCAGTTGAACCCGGAGCTGACGGTATCGCAAAGTCCTCCTCAATATGCAAAGGGGCCTGTAGGCCAGAAGTTCCGCTTCAGATCCTCCCACCATTCCTCGCCCAGTTTTTTTTTTTAAAGTCACGATTACAGAAGGGGGAAGTAAGAATGAGCTAAAATTTGCTGAATAAGTCTAACCCCCCCCCATTTATTTTGGCCCCTGTTATGCTACGTTGATGTATGTGGCATAATGATATCGTAAGGTTTCCAGGGTTGCAAGTGGAAGAACATTATGAGTTCGATTCCCACGAGAGAGTTGGGGGTTTTTTTTCAAATTGAGTACTCGCATGTATTTCTGTCCGTCTTCTACTAATGTTGTATCCCACTCTAGTTGGGTGCGCTCTGATAGGCAGGATGGAAGCAGCCTGCCTCCTAAATGAACTAAATTGTGTCGATGGGGTTGTAAAATATTTATAATCATTACTTCTGTGATGCTGAAATGAACGTAATGTGGGTGGGGGAGGGGTCATCACAGTGATGTATTGCGTATGGATACATGTATTTTTATCTCTTCTGGTCTGCGCTTGGTATGTGGTACGCCCAACCATCAGCAATTAGTTGATTGCATTCGTGAGTGTATTATCAGATGGAACCTGCTTTATTATTCATAGGTTGGTCCCATATTTTTCAAGCTGCTCATCTGTATTTCTTTTGCTGACGACAGATGAACTCGAACCAGCGTCAACGACGTACAAATAAATCTCTCTCTCTCTCTCTCTCTCTCTCTCTCTCTCTCTCTCTCTCTCTCTCTCTCTCTCTCTCTCACT